TTTTTTTTAGAAAGAGAGGAAGGGAGAGGTATAGAGAGATAAAAACATCAATGAGAGAGACCTCAATTGGCTGCCTCCTGCACACCCTCCACTGGGGATTGAGCCCACAACTCGAGCATGTGCCCTGACCAGGAATCAAACCAGGGAGCTCTTGGTTTATGGGTCAATGCTCAATCACTGAGCTACAGTAGCCCGGTTGCCTAATGTCCTTTTTCTGTTCCGAGATCCCATCCATTATATTTAGTTACCACATTACATTTATTTTTAAAAAATACATTAAGTTGATTGAGGTGACATTGGTCAACATGAACATATAGGTTTCAGGTGTGGGTTTCTATGTTACAAGATCTGTATACTGCACCAAAGTCAAATCTTCTGTCACCTTATATTAGGACAACCTTCTCTCTTCACCCCTTCCCTCTGGCAATCACCACACTGCTATTTGTGTTCACGAGTTTCAGTTTTATATCCCACATATGAGTGAAATCATATACTTCTTAGCTTTTTCTGACTGACATTTCAGTTAGCATAATGTTCTCAAGGTCCATCCATGTTGTTGCAAATGGCACTATTTCATCCTTTATGGCTGAGTAGACCTTATGGTCCTTTTAGCTGTGACAGTTCGTGACTTTCTTTGCTTTTGATGACATTAAGAGTTTTAAGGAGTACTGGTCAGGTATTTGTAGAATGTCCCTTAGTGGGATTTACCTGATGCTTTTATTTTTGGGGGAGGAAAACCACAGAAGTAAAGTGACATTTTTATCACACCATATCAAGGGTACTACATTTAAGATATATCTACCAAATCTAGATCTAAACATATAATTACATTGTACATACTGTTTTATACCATGATTTTTTCATATGAATGTCTATTATGAAACCCTTCCATGTCATTAAGAACAGTATATGAATATTTGTAAGTTCATTTTTAAATTTTAATAAAAGGAACATTTTGTCCCATGGTTTTATTCAAAAGATGGATTCCCTGGCCCGGCCAGCGTAGCTAAGTGGTTGAACTTCCACCTATGCACCAGGAGGTCCCTGGTTTGATTCCTGATCAGGGCATATGTCCGGATTGTGGGCTCGGTCCCCAGTGGGGGGCGTGCAGGAGGTAGCTGATAAATATTGATGTTTCTCAGTGATGTTTCTATCTCTCTCCTTCTCCCTTCCTCTCTCTCTAAAATCAATAAAAACATACTTTAAAAAGATGAATTCCCTGGATCCAATATCTATTACATAGAAGACAGTGAAATTTGTTTACATTATACATGGGTTTTAATTGAAGAATTTGCTTCCTGTACTCTGGTATTGCACATCGAGGGCTCTTGCTTGGACTGGACTATGTGAGATATTTTCATGCACTCTTTGAAGTTTTCTTGGAGTCAGTGAGATATGATCAGGTAAAAGAAAAATATGAGGTTGGACTAGGTAGGGAATTAAAAAAAGCAGGGGGAGAATCCAATTCAAAGTCACAACCTGGGGTGGTATCAGAATTGAAGTTAAATATATGATTAAAATTAATTTTTATTGTATCTAAAAAAATAAACTTTTCATGAATTGGAAAATGACCCCAAACAATTAGCTAATTTGGGCTTTGGAGTAACATTTCATTAAATATTAAAATTTTATTCTTCTAGTTGGACGTTTGCCTAACATAATCACAGTATAATCATATCATTGAAACTAACATTGTGGTTGAACACAATCTCATATTTTGGGTGTTACTGCCAATTGGATGATATTTACTTACTATTCCATATGGGCCGAAGTAAACTAACTGCATTGTTTGTTTACATTTAGATTTGCTCATATTGATCCAAACAAATATGTCATTAATATCTGCTAAGATTATTGTTTAAATGAAATGAAATTAAGTGTGTATTTTTTAAAATTCTGTATTGTTGAAAGTATTACATATGTCTCCTTTTTCCCCCATTGACCTCCTCCAACCCGCTCCCACCCGCCCCCCCCCCCAAGCACAGGCCCTGATCCCCCTATTGTCTGTGTCCATTGGTTATGCTTACTAGTATATGCATGTATACAAGTCCTTTGGTTGATCTGTTAAGTGTGTGTTTTTTATACTTTTTAAATTTATTTCAGAGTCGAAGTGAGAGGGAGAGATAGAAACATCAATGATGAGGAAGAATCATTGATTGGCTGCCTCCTGCACGCCCCCTACTGGGGATCAAGCCTGCAACCCAGGCATGTGCCTGGATCAGGAATTGAACTGTGACTTCCTGGTTCATAGGTCGATGCTCAACCACTGAGCCACACAGTTTGGGCAAAGTGTGTATTTTTATGAATAATTTTGTTTATATTGTTAAGTATTTGAGACTGGGTAGGTTATAATAGAGCGTCAACTGTCTTTTGCCTATACATCAAGAAAAGTACATATGTAGTAACATGCTAAGAAATGACTGGCACAGGGGCTTGGATTGTGACCATTATACCAAAGTGTGATTTGCAGCAGTAAATCAGAAATCAGAGGAATTGCTGAAATAAGACTATCAACCCATATAGGATGTCCAAAATTCAGGATATCTTAGTTTATTCATTCAAATGTGACTGCAGCTGACTTAGAAGTATGAAGGTCTCAGTTTGAAAACCTGCTCCTAAACCAGTATATCAACTTCCTATGTAACCTAGGCTCATCACTTACCCTCCATGAGTTTCAATCTCCTAAGGATCTTTCTAGCTCTAATAAACACTCTGAATTGGTGGACAAAAAAGGGTTGTGTAATAAAACTGAAAAGTCCGGTGACAGTAACCTCCCAGTGTGATCCGATCAAAAATTCCTAACTGAGCAGGTGGTGAGTGGTCATGCTGCTGGTGTATAACTTTTAGTAAAAGGTTTCTTTTTATATTAAGCAAGCCCTGTCCATTGTTCTTGTCTTAGACAAATGTCATTTAAGAGGCAAATAAAAAAGATAAGACAAGAACATTGTCCATTGTGCATCTCCGTTAACATATATTTGAAATGACAGGGTAATCCTCTTTTTCAGACCTCTTGGAAGTCCTAACTACCCTCTAAGGAGCGCATAATCTTATTAACTAGCCTGTAATCCAATCCCCACCTGGCCTTCCCCCATCTTCATTTAATCTTCCTTAACTTTCCTCCTTAATTTCAGATGCATAAAAGCAATTGCAAAACTGTCTTTCTACAGATCATTAGATATCTTGCTTCCTGGCAATTGTTGTCAGTTTGACTCACATTAATTCTTATAAAAATTCTCTACAAGTTTGGATGTTTCTTACATTGATAAATCTATTATTCTACTCAGTGTGAGGCACTATGCTGGGTAGTTTGTGGGAGCCAAAGTTGTATAAGACACTGCTCAAGTCCTTAAAAATCAAAGTAAGAAGATGAATGGTTCCATGAACATTTAGCAAACATTTATCACCAGGACTCAAGAAGGTCACAAATACTAAGGTAGAAATAGAGCACATAAGTATGGTGACACAATCCCAACAATGAAACAAGGCTATGACATTTGTCTTAGCTTTAACTCCATTTATGTTCTTCTAAATATATACCTACTAGATGCCTGTTGCACGAAGAGATTGGTGCAATAGGCCTTCCCTTCCCTTGGCTGCTGACACCAGTTTTCCTCTGGCACCCAGGACCCAGGCCTTCGCTCTGGCTAGGCTCTGGCCAGAGCCCCCCCACAGCCATCAGGCTTCGAGGCCTTGAGGCTCCGATTGGTGCCAGGCCGTGAGGCCTCCCGGCTCCACTGATCCTGGGGGCGTGAGGCCTCCCACTCTGCTGATCCCGGGGGGGGGGAGGGGCGATGCGCAGCGGGTTCGGGTATGTTTGGCTTCGCTCTACCGCTTGGAGCCTACGTATGCAAATTAACCGCCATCTTTGTTGGTGGTTAATTTGCATATCACCCTGATTAGCCAATGGGAAGTGTAGCAGAGGTATGGTCAATTACCCTTTTTGTCTTTTATTAGATAGGATACACTGCTAATATAAAGTGATAACATGGATTTAAAAACAAAAATACCAGAACTTAGGCATATGTGTAGTCTTTGAGTAATATCCTTATAAGATTATTCAAAGACTAGAGGCCCGGTGAACAAAAATTTGTGCACTCGGGGGGGGGGGGTCCCTCAGCCCGGCCTGTGCCCTCTCGCAGTCTGGGACCCCTCGGGGGATGACCACCTTCTGGCTTAGGCCTGCTCCCCGGGGGATTGGGCCTAAGCTGACAATCAGACATCCCTCTGGCAGCCCGGGATCCCTCCAGGGATGTCCACTTGCCAGTGAGGAGCAGGCCTCAGCTGCAGTCTGACATCCTTAGTGCTGCTGAGGAGGCGGAAGAGGCTCCCACCACCACCGCTGTACTGACAGCCGTCAGCCTGGCTTGTGGCTGAGCAGAGCTCCCCCTGTGGGAGCGCACTGATCACCAGGGGGCAGCTCCTGCATTGAGTGTTTGCCCCCTGGTGGTCAGTGTGTGTCATAGTGACCAGTCATTCCCAGTAGTTCTGCTGTTAGGGTCAGTTTGCATATTACCCTTTTATTATATAGGATAGAGGCCTGGTGCATGGGTGGGGGCCGGCTGGTTTGCCCTGAAGGGTGTCCCGGATCAGGGTGGGGTTCCCGCTGGGGTGCCTGGCCAGCCTGGGTGAGGGGCTGTTGGCTGTTTGCAGCTGGTCACACCCCCTTCAGGGTGGGGGTTCCCACTAGGGTGCCTGGCCAGGCTGGGTGAGGGGCTGATGGCTGTTTGCAGGCTGGTCATACCCCCTTCAGGGTGGGGGTCCCCACAGGGGTGCCTGGCCAGCCTGGGTGAGGGGCTGATGGCCGTTTTCAGGCTGGCCACACCCCCTTTAAGGTAGGGGGTCCCCACTGGGTTGTCTGGCCAGTCTGGGTGAGGGGCTGAGGGCCGTTTTCAAGCTGGCCAAGCCCCTCCGGCGACGGAAGCTCCCAACCTCTCCTTTTCTTCTTTTTTTTTATTCTGGGATTTATTTACCTTCTATAATTGAAATTTTGTTGCCTTCAGTGGAGCTCAGAGCCTGCCACCAAGCCTCCTGCTCGCTCCAGCTCCGTGACCACAGCCAGCTGAAAGCAGGTATCTGGGGTTTATTTATCTTCTATAATTGAAACTTTTTGCCTTCAGTGGAGCTCAGAGCCGGCCGCGGGAAGCTTGGCTTCCTCCATCACTGGAGCAACCAAGCCTCCTGCTCGCTCCAGCTCTGTGGCTGCCGGCCGCCATCTTGGTTGGGTTAATTTGCATATAGTCGCTCTGATCGGCTGGTGGGCGTGGTTTAAGGTGTAGAGAAGGTACAGTCAATTTGCATGTTTGTCTTTTATTAGATTAGATACTTGATAACTGCCTTCATAGCCTGTGGCACATATTCATATTTACTCAGTTGGAATAGATCCTGGTCACTGGGGAATAAATGAAGTGAAATTAAGCTGTTTGGGAATAGCCAAATGTCATTTAAGAGGCAAATCAAATGGATAAGACTAGTAAGTGATAGAGCTGGGCTATACATTTTGAATTAAGAAATTAAGTATGACAATTAAGAAATGAGATTGGGTTTCTTTAGAGCCTTGTAATTGGCTCTGAAGGTAATTCTTATTTCCAGAGATGTTTTGAGCATCACAAGAATAAATAGATGTTCTCCAAAGGGAAGTACTTTGGAAGGCAACAGTACCTACTTACTATCTGCCATACTTAGGATTTCAAGGTTTGTTTAGTTAGAAATACCAGCTATATTATTAACAGTTAAAAACTAACTGTTAACTGATCCTTGTTACATTTTTGGGAGAAATAATATCTTTCACGTCTAAAGGAAAAAAATTTAAAGTAACACTTACTGAATCTCCTCTCCACTCAGCCATCCAGTAAATGCTAGATGCTGAACTAGATCACTCCTACAGCAATCCCATATGAAGTAGGCATCATTTCCCCCATTTTATAGATGCAAAACTGAGGTTCAGGAAAGTTAAGAGGCACATCAATAGAAATCAGGATCTTCCTTCAAGTTTGCCAACAATCATAAAGGAAACCTCCATAGTGAATTTTAGAAGCTTTTGCATGGTAGTTAGCAATGTATGTAGCATTAGTACAATTTACTTTCTCCTTGTTGATGTTGCAATGCTATTTTAACCAACCAGAGTACACCATTGCTTTCATATTTCCTGCCAGACACTGATGCAATGAAAATAAAATTTTATTGATTTGATACTTGTTTCTCAACAATAACCTTATCAGATTTATCAGTTATCTATGAAAGGGTTTCCCATCTTTTGTTGTTTGGCTGGTTTGTTTTACTGAGCTCCAATCTTTTTACCCATAGTGTATATTCAACTTGGCTCCTGATAAAAGTTCTTTGAAATAGTCTCTAAGTTTCTAAATTTCTTTTTACAGCCAAGAAAATAGTACCCTCCAAACCTAGGCACTGTAGCTAATTATGCTGAATTTGTATTCTTATCTTTCACGTGGGGATAAAAATGCTTGCCTTACCTTCTCTCTCAAAATTGAGGGACAATTCAAATGCAGTCATGTATTTGAATGGACGTTGAAGAAGTAGTATAATACATGATATTAAATGTATAATATTGTTTTTTTCACATCATTGTGTGATTGACTAACTACTAAGGCAATGTGGATTTGGATGTAACTTGATATAGGTTCTGGGCTGGCTCCAGAGACAGATTTCTTTCTTGGTCGTAGCTCCAGAAAACAGACAGGAGTCATACATTACTAAAGGCCAGGCCCTGAAAGATCTCCTTTGGACAATTAAGCATGGCATGGTCAAAAACATGCAATTATTCTTTGCAACATATACTACTCATGGTCAAAAACATGCAATTATTCTTTGCAACGTATCCAAATGTCGAATCATTATGTTGTACAACTGGAACTAAGATAATGTTATATGTTAAGTAGTGCCCTGGTGCACAGATTTGTGCATATTGAAAGGAAATTAATTAGAAGGTGGCCAGCAGGGCGGGACTGGGCGAGATAGGCCGGACACGCCCTGGAGCCAACATCCCATGGTCCCTCCCCAGCCAGTCGCACCTGGGGCGGCACAGTGGCTCAAAGGGCATCTGCAGAGTGAGCGGGGTCCCTCCAGCAGGTGGTGTCCCTCAGCCTGACCTGCAGGGCTCTGGCCAAAACCAGCTCTCCAACATCCCCCAGGGGTCCCAGATTGTGAGAGGGTGGTTCTCGGGTAACACACCCCAGAATCAGGCTCCCTCCTCTCTGGTTCCAGGGTGCATCACCTGAGAACCTCCGTTGCCAAGTCATCGAAGTTCGGCAGCTCCTGCATTGAGCGTCTGCCCCCTAGTGGTCATTGCATGTCATAGCTACCAGTCAGACAGACGGTTAGCCTTTTATATAGATTATATCTCAATTTTTAAAATGTTTTAAAAATACAAAGTACAATTTTGAGCTGAGAAGCTTTAAAAAAAATCTAGATTGTAGCTGTTTCACCAAAAAGATACAGAGTACTGTACAAAATGTTTTTTGCTAGAATGCTTGTATTCCCCAAAATTCATATGAAGTCCTAATCCCCCCAGTGTGGCTGTATTTAGACAGGGGACCTTTAAGGGATCAATTAAGATTAAGTGAGGTCCTAAAGATGGGGTTTTGATAAGATTAGTATCCTTATTGGAAGAGACAAGAGAGAGCTTGCTCATTTTCTTTCTCTGCATGAGCAAAGAGGAAAGGCCATCAGAGCACATGGTGGGCCACCCAAGGGGAGAGCTCTCACTAGACACCAACCCTGCTTCTGACACCTTGATCTTTGGATTTCCAGTCTCTAGAACTGTGATAAAATAAATCTGTTGTTTAAAAAACAAAAATACTTGTTTTATGCTATATTGCAAGCTAATAAAAGTTGAAATTAGCAAAAAAAAAAAAAGAACAAAAGCACATCATTCAATTAGGTTGTTTACATTAATGAACCAAATGAGGACAATTATCCAAAAAGGTGACCCTGCAGAGAGAAACTGATTGGTCTAAACAGGGAAGGAACAAAAGATAGTGTGAGAAGCAGGGCATCTCCCAGGATTTTCAGCCCTGATTCTTGCCCACTGTTTGAAGGTGGTCAAGTCTCTGGTATATTCTTTTTTTAAAATATATTTTTATCAATTTCAGAGAGGAAGGGAGAGGGAGAGAGAGATAGAAACATCAATGATGAGAGAACCATTGATTGGCTGCCTCCTGCACATCCCCCACCGGGGATCGAGCCCGAAACCCAGGCATGTGTCCTGACCAGAAATGAACCTTGACTTCCTGGTTCATAGGTCAATGCTCAACCACTGAGCTGCGCCATATGGGCTCTGGTATATTTTGATCGTCAGTTTATTTAACTAAGACAAGAGAAGGGAGAGAGAGAATGATGCTTTACATTTCTCATTGGGTTCCTGTGAAGAGCTATATACACATAAGGAATTCATTAACTCAGCAAATGTTTATTGAGTGTGTATTGTGTACAATGAACAAAGGAAACATTTATCTGTCCTCAAGAAACTGGCAGTCTATTAGAGAAAGAATAAAATGTATAATAATAAGAAATGTGAGGCAGACAATCTAAGTGCCAGAGTAGAGATAAATATTATTCTTACATTCCTGCAAATAAATCAACTAGAACTAGGTGTTTACTGGGATTGATCAATAAAATAATCAAAATGAGAAAATGATCCTTTTGAGACACACTGCTTTAGCATTACATTTACTTTATTCCTTACACTTAATTAATTAATTTTCATTTGGAAAACATTTATTAATCAACTACTATGTGCTGTTTCCTGCAATAAAGGCTACAGATATATTGGGTGTTAAAAATGCATGATCCTGTTTTCAGTGAAACTTACAATTTTAGAGGGAAGAAACAAACATGTAAAGACATGAGAAAATGTTGCAGATGTGATGATGAATACTTTTGTTAGTTTCTATGTAGGAAGCAGCACAAAGGAAGCAGAGGTTACCTCTTGTGGGGGTGGAGGGGAATCTGGGAAATTTCATGGAGGAGGTGCCTTTTGATTCTTAAAGGAGAAGGACTCCCTCAAACTGACAAGAGGCAAGGAGACAAGGACACTTCTGGCAGAAGGGAGTACATGAACATAAAGGCAGAGGTGCAAAGAACAATTGTACGTGGTTCTGAGTGACACTACTGAAATGGGCTGTGGGAAGGGAAGAGGCACAGAAAAAAAGATGAAACAACTTTTGTCTTCACAACTTTGCTCAGATTCAGGCCTATAACCACTCTTCAATCTATATTGCCATTGTTTTAGAAATAGCTTCAAGTCCTACCTACACAAAGTTAGAAACATCTATGTTTGCAAAAAAGTTTTGTTTCTAAATGTTTTTTTTACAGATATTTTCCATGTAAACATGGTGTTGAATGGCACAACTGGATTTGGGGTGGTACATCACCATCTATTGCATATTTATCTGAGTTGGTTTAAAAGCTTTCTGCAAGAACTCCTTTTCTTATTGAAAAACAAGAGTCACAAAAATTCTATTACTTCAGGTTTCTAGACCCCCTCCCCCAAGTAGTTGTTAGTTCCCTAGCTGTTAGTATTATCCTGGAATATTTCTCAACTAAAGTCTGCACCTTACATGTTTCCATTCCTTTTTCCCCCATTCAGTGGCTGCACTTGTAACATTGTTTACCAGGCTGGTGAAGATGGGTTCTTCCCCCTTTGCTGTGGAACCTATCAACTATTATGTTACAGCTCACAGGAAGGAAAGGTTGGTGTTCCTCAGAAGCAGACATGCTCGTTGTGATATATTTCTCTCTCAAAATTGGAGAGTCCTTATCTGCTGTTAACTACAGGCTATCCTACATGAACATCATTCCTGCCTTTTCTATAGGAGCTAGTCTAGTGCAATAGCCATTTGCCATGGGGGAATTCCATTACCTTTCCTTACCACAAGGATATATTCTGTCTGGTGTTTACACTGAAGATGGGGGAAATTTAATTAAATTCTTTCAAGTGCTAGATTTACTTACACTATCAATTTACTGCTACACCCACCATTCTCATTTTGGACAAAGAGAATAGGACCATATGTCTCAAACTTATCAACTGTCGGCACTTTCAGTAATAGTTTTCTGCTTAGAATCAAAGAAAGATTTGGGTTTTTGAGTTCCTAAAGCCCTCTAGTTAGAAAGTTATGGACTTTGTGATTTGGAATGGAATTTACTATACACTTTTGTATGTTGGAATATGTTTTGCAATAAATCCAGTATCTTATTTGCAAAATGTCTTAGGGCAAAGTTTGGCAGCTTCTCCAAAGGGTAGTTCTCTCCTCTCATCGTTTCCTGGTGAAAACTATGCAAGAATTAGATTAAATAACACCACCATCAATAAATCATCCACATGTTTCATCAAGTGAAAGAATACTGGCCTGTGGGGAAAGCTAGAGAAAACAAGTACAACTACACACAATCATTGGCATGGAAATGTGTAAATATAAAGAGAAACTTGGTAAAATATTTCTGATGCCAGAGATAAATATTTAATAATTCTGTCCAAAAATAATAATATGGGAAAGCTTCTCCTCTTGAGTTTTAGTTTAGGTGACTAATTTACACATGGAACAGAAATACATATGCATTTTCACATTTCTCTAAATTGTATACAAAATATCTAGTATTTGGATAAGAGCTAAAAAAAAAAAATCCCATCCAAAATCTACTGGGACATGGGACCTGTGCTCAAGTAGCTTATAGTACAATTGGAAAAAATGAGACTTTGACGCATGGCATCATTAAAGTCAAAGTTTGTAATGAGGATTGAAATGCACATAATTTAGTACAAATCTGCATAGTACAGACATGCATCAGGAGTTGTAGGAAGTTAGGAATAGGAATAAAGGATTAATGGGGAGCTAGAGTTTTGGGGAAAGTTTTATGAAGGATGTGTACAATATATGATGTCTGAAATGCTAGGCACAATTTGATTCAAGAAGGGAGAGGGAATAAGATATTCTGATTTTTAAAAAGGAAACAAGAGCAAAGACCTGAGAGAAGAGCAAAGACCTGAGAGAGTGAATATGGTGGACAGAAGGCAAAGAAGAGGTGTGTGAAAATGTTGGCATGGTAGGGTAAACTCAGACTTGGCAATGCAGGCTTAAGAATTTGGTTTGGTTTCCTCAGGCAAAGAAGAGACATCAGGATCCATTGAGCAATGTAGTGACTTGATGAAAGTAATGTTGTGGGAAAATTAAACCAGGATTTGCAGGATTTCATATGGCCATCCGGATGGCAAATGCATCAGCTGAAAAGGTAAATTGAGCAGTGAGATGAATGTGATAGCTGAGGCTGGCATGACATCATGATGAAGACTAGGATCAACCAGGATAAATTCACATGGGGAGGACATATAGTTTCAACTAGCAACATGGGAGATTTGAGATGAAACATTCTAATCATTATGATAAACATTCTAATCATCATGCACCCAAAAGAAACTAAGGAGAACAGGAGAGATGGAAGAGTGAGGACCCATTATTATCTGTCTCCTGCTTCTTTGTCCAACCTAATTGATGCATACGGCAGTCATATTGAGCTGCTTGTGATTTCCTGAAATAAATGTTTTCTCACCTTTTCAGGCTTTTGTTCAGAATACTCTTTCTCCCATTTTTCCTGCATGCAATTATTGTAGATAGAATGGCTCCTAAAGTTATCCAGGTCTTAATTCCTGGAACCTATGAATATGCTACATTATATAACAAGAGCATCTTTGAAGGTGTAATTAAAGTTAAGGACTTCAAGATAGGGAAGATAATCCTGGATTATCCCGTTGGACTGATCTAATCACAGGAGCCCTTAAAATCAGAGGACTTTCTCCAGCTGGAGTCAGAGAGGTGTGGCAGACGGGGAAATAAGAGATGTTTGAAGTGTGAGAGAAATTCAACTTGTTACAGGATTCCATGGCAGGAGGAATAGGGAAACTGAAACAGGAAAGTTAAAACAAGGCCAAACAGTGTGGGCAATTTGCAGCCAGCTTGTAACTAACAAACCATTATCTTTCCCAGCCAAGGACATGAGAGCAAATGGTTAACAACCTCCCTAATGAGAGAATGCAGAAAGGAAGGGGAAAAGGGGAGAGGAAAAAAGGGCAGTTTTACTCCCTAAACAGAAAAGCCAGTAGTCTCAAGGCTTGGCAAGATAAAGTTGCCAGGTGCTTCTCATAAATTCTGGGAAGGCCACAACAAAGTAAAAACAAAAAAAAAAGACCTTGAAAATTAATCTGTACTAAAATAGTCAGCGGAAGAATTTTGAGACCTATAGACAGGAGGGTATATAATACCTCAGCCTGTCTGTGCTTTATAAGCTACATGTATAGGTTTCCTTGCTTTGCTTTTTCAATAAAGGTACATGCTTTAATTGTTTTGGTAAATTGGCTTTTCACAACACAGTCAAGTTCTCTCGAAAAAAATCATTTATGTGAGAAGACAAGGGTAGAGGTTGGGAACAGCCCTCTCCCATTGACTCAAGGGGCTGTCCAGTAACACCTCTCTGGTGTCGGTGAGAGGTGCCTATAACAAACCAACTGTTGCTAGAAGGAAGCCATATGGATATCAGTGGAAGGAATGATGGCCTCTGGGAGCAAAGACTGGCCTCTGGCAGGCAACTAAATTTGGCAATGAGCCTGTATGAGCTTGGAAGTGAGTTTATTTCCAGAGCCCCAGAAAGGAATACAGCTGCTGATAACTTGGTTTGACCTTATGAGACTCAAAGCATAGGAACCAGCCAAGCCACCCTATAGCCAGATTTCTCCCCTATAGAACTAGGAAATAATACATGAATGTTGTTTTATGGTAATCAATTTGTGGCAATTTGTTATGGCAGCCATAGGAAACTAATACAGCACACTTTTCACCTCAAACATCATATTTCCAGGAAGGTTTCCCTATGCTCCTCTTTTGGTCTCCCATAGCAACCAATGCATCCCTGTATAATGGCAAGAATGACATTATATTGATGCCATTGGCTGTACAACTATCTCCCTCCCTAAGTAGTGAGTGCCTTGAAGGAAGGGACCATGTCTTATTAATTTCTGTATCGATAGCACTTAGCACAGTGCCTTGTAGCAGATGCTGAGTAAATATTGAGGTAGAAAAAGAAGGAAAATAGGAAGAGGAAAAGCTGGCTGAGAGAGAAATAAAGGGTGAAATAAAATGGAATGGCAGCCAACCCTGAGCGTGACTAGGGGTGGCATCACAACCTCCCGATCCACCCTGCTCTGTGCATGACAGGGGGCGGCGCCCCAACTCCCCAATTGGCCCTGCTCTGAGCCCAACCAGGGGCTGCACCTAGGGATTGGGCCTGCCCTCTGCCACCCGGGAGCAGGCCTAAGCCAGCAGGTCGTTATCTCCCGAGGGGTCCCAGACTGTCAGAGGGCACAGGCCGGGCTGAGGGACCCCCTCTCCCCCCCGAGTGCACAAATTTTTGTGCACCAGGCCTCTAGTGATTATATAAAAGAAAGAATAATCAAAGAACAAAAAGCTCCTGAAAAATTAAAATATAATACCAAAATTTCAGTAACCAGGCTTGAAAATAAAGTTGAGGAAATCACACATCCTATATAATAAAACCCTAATATGCAAATCGACCAAATGGCTGAACCACTGACCCCCCAGGGGACAGACACTCAATGCAGGAAGAGCCCCCTGGTAGTCAGTGCACTCCCACAGGGGGAGTGCCACTCAGCCAGAAGCCAGGGGTCCTGGAATGTGAGAGCCCCGGACTGCAAGAGAGATTTCCAGGGGGATTGAGCCTAAGCCAGTAGGCGGACAACCCCTGTGGGGTCCCAGACTGTGAGAGGGTGCAGGCCGAGCTGAGGGACTGCCCCCCCCCCCCCGAGTGCACGAATGTTGTGCCCCAGGCCTCTAGTAAGAAGAGCAAAAAGAGAGCTTCCATTCATCAAAATTGCTTGAATGTTTACTATGTGTCAGGTACTGTTCTAGGCTCTTGGAATATATTATGTCAACAACAAACTGACAAAGATTCCCTGTGCTTATGTAGCTTATACTTTGGTGGACAATATGATAATGAAGAAAATTAGAACAATCCAAGTCATACATTATCAAACCAATAGGAATGTCCAGAAAGAAAACAGAAAATGGTGGGAGCAAATTATCAATCCAAAATACTTTCCCAGCTCTGAAGGACTTGAGTTTTCAGATTTAAAGGGCCCACCTAGAGCCCAACAAAAGAGCATTATGAGTTTCCAGAACACTGGGGATAAAGAGAAGAACCTGAAAAGTTAATGAGAGAAAAAATATATCACATACAAAGTATTTGACTTCACAATAGCAAGATTAAAGGCTAGAGGACAATGAGGTGATGCCTTCAAAATTCTGAGTAACTGATTATTTTCAACCAAGAATTTTATCTTTACCTAAGTTATTAATCAAATCAGAGGGTAGAATAACATTATTTTCAACCAAGAATTTTATCTTCATCTAAGTTATTAATCAAATCAAAGGGTAGAATAACCCTTACTCAGATGGGAATGCATAATCAAAACAAGGATGTAAACCAAGAAATAGAATCACAAAACATAGAGCTTATCCAGGGGAGAGGTGAAAGGAATTTACAGGATGACAGCTGTGCAGTAAGTTCAGAAAGCAAATGGTTCAGATTGGAGAAGACCAGAGAGTCCCAGGAGCAACATTTCTAGGGAGAAAAAGCCTCAAAATCCAAATAAAGCCAAACAACAACAAAACTAAGAGATCATCTGAAATCTTTGCTCATGTGACCATGTGAACAATTGTACCAATAGGTATTTTACAAGACTGTCAGAAGGTATAGGAAGACTTGGAGATAGTTTCAAATAAACTATGTAATGGGGGAAATAAATTAGGTCATCATTAACTTCTGAAAAAACAGAAATTGTACAAAAAGGAAATGTAATCATAATACAATTCTTAACCCATCAGTGAAATATTTGTGTAATCATGGTGATGCCAACATTAAATTGTGATATAAACTATATTGGGAGAATAAAGGAGGAGAGAAAATTGGAAGAAAATTCCATCTTCATATACTATAATAAGATGCCAGTAGTTTAATTACATTGAATCAAAATAAAATAATGTCCACCACTCTTATTCAAGATAGGACAGGAAGTCCTAGCCACAGCGATCAGACAAGAAGAAGAAATAAAAGGCATTCAAATTGGAAAGGAGGAAGTAAAACTCTCATTATTTGCAGATAACATGATATTGTACATAGAAAACCCTAAAGACTCCATTGGTAGAAAAAGCAGATTAAAAAAACCATTAAGCAAATAGAAGAGTTGAAGGACATGATCAACAAAGTTGGCCTGATAAATATAGAACACTATAAACAACAACTGAAGAATATATACTCTATTCAAATGCAAATGAAATATTCACCAACATTTATCATACTATGGACTCTAAAGCAAGTGTTAAATTTCAAAGGACTGAAATCATACAGAGTATATTATCTGACCACAGTAGAATTAAGCTAGAAATCAATAACAAAAATATAACAGGACATCTCTATTTGAAAATTATATAATACACTCCAAATAACCCAGGGTTCAAAGGAGAAACAAATGTACAGCATAGGGAATACAGTCAATAATATTGTAATAACTATGTATGGTGCCAGCTATGATAACCCAAGGGTGAACCTAGGTAACTAGGCTTAAGTTTAACAACAAGAATTTTTTAAAAAACTGAGCAGAGATTCCAGTTGTCACACACTTCGGGGTAAATAGACACTACATAATTAGTCCAAGCACATCACTCACATAAATAAATAAATATTTGAAAACAAAGAAACAAGATATAGCCCATACAGAGGAAAAAGCAGCTTATATACATTGTTTCTGGGAGGGCCTAGATAAAGATTTCAAATAAGCTATTATAAATGTGTTTGAATAACTAAAGGACACCATGTTTAAAGAATTAAAGTGGGGGGAGTGGGAGCAGGCGGGGAGAGGTCAATGGGGGGAAAAAGAGGCATATATAAAACTTTCAACAATAAAGAATTTTAAAAAAGAATTAAATGTATGATGATAATGACTCATCACATAGAGAATATTAATAAAAAGATACAAATTATAGAAATAATGGAAATTCTGTAGTTAAAGGGTATAGCAAATGAAAAAATTTACTCAAGGGGCTCAACAGTAAAAAGGAATGAAGAAAACTGAGTAATTTCAAAGGCCTGTGAGACACCATCAAACACACCACATATGCTTAATGGGATATCCAGAAGAGGGGGGGGGAGGGCAATGACATAAGTATTTGAAGAAATAATGGGTAAAATTTCTCAAATTTGATGGAAAACTTTAAGCTACACATCCAAGAAGCTCAATGAATTCCAAGTAGAACAAACACAAAGATATTCACAGCTAGATAGATATTAATCAAATTGTTCAAAGCCAAAGCCAAGAGAAAAACTTGAAAACAGCAGGAGAAAAATTATATATATGCAAAGGAACCACAATAATATTAACAGCTGCCTTGTCATCAGAAACAATGGAGACAAA